AGAAGATGGCCCAAGTTCTTGAGTCCCTGTACCTTCAGTGGGGGCCGGGAGGAAGCTCCTGGCTCCTGGCTTCAGATTGGCCCAGCTCTGCCATTGCAGCCATCTGGGGTGTGAGCCAGCAGATGGAAGACCTAACTCTCTTTCTCTTTCTCTCTGCCTCTGCCTATGCCTCTCTGTAACCCTGCATTTCAAATAAAGAAATAAATCTTTTAAAAAATTAAAGAAAGAATTAGAAGTTACAGAAAATGGAAAATACTTCATGTTCATGGATTAGAAAATTATGTATCATCAAAATGTCCATTCTTCTGAAAGCAGTTTACAGATTCATTGTGATACCAATCAAAATACCAGAGATATTCTTCTCGGATCTAGAAAAAAATGATAGTGAAATTCATATGGAGACACAGGAGACCTCAAATAGTTAAGCAATCTTGTACAACAAAAACAAAGCTGGAGGCATCACAATACCAGATTTCAGGACATACTACAAGGATGTTATAATCAAAACAGCCTGGTGCTGGTACAAAAACAGATGGATGGACCAATGAAGCAGAATATAAACTCTAGAAGTCTATCCTAGCATCTATTACCAAATTATATTTGACCAAGGAGCCAAAACCAATCCCTGGAGCAAGGATAGTCTCTTCAACAAATGGTTATTGGAAAACTGGATTTCCACATATAGAAATATGAAGCAGGACCTGTAACTTATACCTTACACAAAAATCCATTCAAAACTGATTGAAGACCTAAATCTATGACATGATGCCATCAACTTATTAGAGAGCATTTGGGAAACCCTGCAAGACGTTGGCACAGGCAATGACTTCTTGGAAAAGACCCCAGAGGAACAAGGAATCAAAGCCAAAATTAAAATGAGATTACATCAAATTGAGAAGCTACTGTACTGCAAAAGAAACAGTCAGGAAAGTGAAGAGGCAGCCAACAGAATGGGAGAAATTATTCACAAATTATGTGGCTGATAATGGATTAATAACCAGAATTTATAAAGAGATCAAGAAACTCCACAACACAACAACAAAACCAACAACCCTGTTAAGAAATTGACATGGGACTTAAACAGATATTTTTCTTTTTTTTTCCTTTTAAAAATTCTTTTTATTTATTTTGAGAGATAGAGTTACAGACAATGAGAGGGAGAGACAGAGGGAAAGGTCTTCCATCTGTTGGTTCACTCCCAAATGGCTGCAATGGCCGGAGAGCTGCGCTAATCTGAAGCCAGGAGCTTCTTCAGGTCTCCCACACGGGTGCAGGGGCCCAAGCACTTGGGCCATTCTCCACTGCTATCCCAGGCCACAGCAGAGAGCTGTTTTGGAAGAGGAGCAGCTGGGACTCGAACTGGCCCCCATATGGGATGCCGGCACCACAAACGGAGGATCAACCTACTCCACCATGGTGCCGGCCCCAAACAGACATTTTTCAAAAGAGGAAATCCAAATGGCCAAAAGACACATGAAAAAATGTTCAGGATCAGTAGCCGTCAGGGAAATGCAAATGAAAAGCACAATGAGGTTTCACCTCACCCCAGTTAGAATGGCTTTCATACAGAAATCACCAAAAACAAATGCTGGGAAGGATATGGGTGAAAAAATGTATTCAAATCCACTGTTGATTGGAATGTAAACTGATAAAACCAATATGGAAGACAGTTTGGAGAGACCTCAGAAAACTGAACATAGTCCTACCATGTCACTGCAGCCATTCCACTCCTGAGAATTTACCCAAGGGAAATAAAATCAGTACATAAACAGTTATCTGCACCCCCATGTTTATTGCAACTCAATTCACAATAGCTAAGACATGGAATCGACCTAAATGCCTATCAACTGAAGACCAGATATAGAAAATTATGGGATATATACTCTATGGAATACTACACCGCAGTAAAAAAAAAAAAACAAAACAAAACATGAAATCTGGTCATTTGCAACAACAAAATGGCTTATTTCACAGAATCAACCATTTTGTTGTTGCAAATGACCAGATTTCATGTTTTTTGTTTGTTTGTTTGTTTGTTTGTTTGTTTTACCTGCCTTCTGAGAGTACTCCCCCAATGACCTAAGGACCTCCTACTAGGCCTCATCTCTTAAAGTTTCCACCACCTCCTGATAGCACCACCCTGGAGTCCAAGCCTCTAGTCATGTGAGTCTTTGAAAAACATAACTGAACCAATATCCAAACCATAGAAGTTATTTATGAGCTGAGATTAAAAGTGTTTTGTTCTTTGCTGTATCTCCAATGCCTGACATAGGGATTGGCATGCATTTGACACTTGACAGATTTTTATTAAATATTTGTAGATGAGTAATAGAAGGAATAGCTAAGTCATCATTCTGTGAGAGAAGATAATTCAGTCTTCAGAGACCAAGACAACAGGCAGACTGTATCAGTGAGTTACCTGTTTGGAGGCCAAAAATGTCTCCATAGAAAAAATAAAAAGCATTAGATAATTTGCCTATTTACCCATAGCAATGCCTGACATTTCTCCTTTCTGCCACAAGAAAATGTCTTTTCCCTGTAATCACTTGATTCTCATTCTTTATCTGCTGCATTAGTCTGTGTCTGTCTTCCTCATTACTAGCTTCTTCTGTATTAGTCTTTGCTACATAACAAACCACTCCAAAACTTAGTGAAGTAAATCAAGTACCACTTTTTTTTTTAACTTTTATTTAATGAATATAAATTTCCAAAGTACAGCTTATGGATTACAATGGCTTCCCCCCCATAACGTCCCTCCTACCCGCAACCCTCCCCTTTCCCACTCCCTCTCCCCTTCCATTCACATCAAGATTCATTTTCCATTCTCTTTATATACAGAAGATCAGTTTAGCATACATTAAGTAAAGATTTCAACAGTTTGCTCCCACACAGAAACATAAAGTGAAAAATGCTGTTTGAGTACTAGTTATAGCATTAAATCTCAATGTACAGCACACTAAGGACAAAGAACCTACATGAGGAGTAAGTGCACAGTGACTCCTGTTGTTGACTTAACAAATTGACTCTCTTGTTTATGGCCTCAGTAATCACCCTAGGCTCTTGTCATGAGCTGCCAAGGCTATGGAAGCCCCCTGAGTTCACCGACTCTGATCATATTTAGACAAGGCCATGGTCAAAGTGGAAGTTCTCTCCTCCAAGTACCACTTTTTTAGCTTACTTTTCTGTGAGTCAACAAATTAGGCTAGGCTAAACTGGATTCACTTATGCATCTGTGGTAAGCTAGACTACTGTCTTTCTGGGATATTGGTTGACCAGTGGTGGGACCCATAGGGTGGCTAGAGCCTTTGATTTTCTTTCATTGTCCAGCAGGCCAGCCTAGGCTTGTCCAAATGGTTACTTGAGAGTTTCAGAAAAAGGGAATCCTATAAATCAACTTGATGTCTATGCTCAGAACTCACGAAGACCCGTTCCTGCAGTCTGTCAGCCAGTGCCTGTCACAATGCTAATCTTGACCCAATGGGTGGAGGAGAGGACTGAACCACTTACCTCTTCCTTGTCACCTGCTTCAATTCATCCTTTAAGACTGTGGCAATATTATCACCTCAGGCTGAATAGCCATGCAAGTCTTTGCCAGATTCCCCCCTTCACTGCATTTAGAATATTGTGTGGCAGTTGTTGTTGTTGTTGTTTTTGACAGGCAGAGTGGACAGTGAGAGAGAGAGACAAAGAGAAAGGTCTTCCTTTTGCCATTGGTTCACCCCCTAATGGCCGCTGCAGCCGGTGCGCTGAGGCCAGCGCACCATGCAGATCCGAAGCCAGGAGCCAGGTGCTTCTCCTGGTTTCCCATGCGGGTGCAGGGCCCAAGCACTTGGGCCATCCTCCACTGCACTCCCGGGCCACAGCAGAGAGCTGGACTGGAAGAGGAGCAACCGGGACAGAATCTGGCGCCCCGACTAGAACCCAGGGTGCCAGCACCACAGGCAGAGGATTATCCTATTGAGCCGCGGTGCCGGCCAGCAGTTGTTTTAATTAGAGGAAACTGAGCTCCTTGAAAACACGGACTGTGTTTCATTCCAGGATTTGGCATGAAAGTAGATCACTTTTAAAAGCTGTTTTTGTCGGGCTTGCACTGTGGCACAGAGGGTTAATGCGCTGGCCTGAAACTCCAGCATCCCATATGGGCGCCAGTTCTAGTCCTGGCTGCTTCACTTCCCACCCAACTCTCTGCTATGGCCTGGGAAAGCAGTAGAAGATGGCCCGAGTCCTTGGGCCCCTGCACCCACGTAGGAGACCTGGTGGAAGCTCCTGGCCTCCTGGCTCTTGGCTCCTGGCTTCAGATCGGCACAGCTCCAGCCGTTGCAGCCAATTGGGGAGTGAACCAGCGGATGAAAGACTTCTCTCTCTCTGCCTCTCCTCTCTCTGTGTAACTCTGACTTTCAAATAAATAATAAATAAATCTTTAAAAAAACTGTTTTTGTGAAAATAAAGCATTCTGGCAATTGATGTCTGGCAATGTAGAAGTTGAGGTTAGAAGATAATGTGTGCTTGCATCTTAAAACTTTTTTGTTGATGCTTAAAAACTTTGGTGCATACTCATTCTAATAAATCAAAATTGAATTTTTAAAAAAAGAATGCAGAGGGTAAAGAAACCTGGCAGGATTCCAAGCATAAGTCATTATTTAATATTTTGATACTAGACTTTCATTAGGTTACAGATTTATAAGGAAGACAAGTTGTAATGTTGTGCCATGTTTATTGGAGAGACATTCCTGTTCATTGACTGATCCAGTGGAATTTGAGCTCAAATTTCTATCTCAAATTTCTATTTCAGAATGTAAGGTGAAGGAATGGGATCAGTTAGCATTCTGGATGTTACATCCTGGAAGACACTGAAAAGATATTTCTGTTAGGAAGGGAAGTGGAATACAGCCAACATGAATTCATCTGTAAGACAATGTCTTTTCAGTGTGCCTCTCCTCAGTTGATGGGTTCTCATGTTTTTTTTTGTTTGTTTGTTTGTTTGTTTGTTTGTTTTTTAGGTTCTGCTGTCTGCGCACCTTCCTGAATTGGTAAAACTTGAACAGATTTTCCCACCAGTGGGCTGTTTTCCTGATTCCTAACCATGCAGCGGAGATCAAGGGGGATTAATACTGGACTTATTCTTCTCTTTTCTCAAATATTCCGTGTTGGGATCAACAATATTCCACCCGTGACTCTAGCCACTTTGGCTCTCAACATCTGGTTATTCTTGAATCCTCTGAAGCCGCTGTATAACTCCTGCATTAGTGTGGAAAGGTGTTACCAACAGAAAGACTGGCAGCGCTTACTGCTTTCCCCTGTCCACCATGCTGACGACTGGCATTTGTATTTCAATATGGTATCCATGCTCTGGAAAGGAGTTAATCTGGAAAGAAGACTGGGAAGTAAATGGTTTGCCTATATCATTGCCACATTCTCCCTACTCACTGGAGTAGTGTATTTGCTCTTGCAATTTGTTTTTGCTGAATTTATGAATGAACCTGACTACAGAAGAAACTGTGCTGTAGGCTTCTCAGGTAAGAAGACATACTTCTGAGGTAGCATGTGTGAAGGCAGTGAGGGAGATGTGCTGTGTGTGTGTTCCTCGTTGGTAAGGGGACTGAATTGAGTGGCGAAGGGTTGCTGGGGCTTGTGTCTTGAAGGGAAGCTAATTGGAGAATGGTAGGGGCAGTTTTTGCCCAAGCACATCATGCTGCATCATTTGCTTCTGGACATAATGGTCTAAGGATTTTGTATGAGATGTAGGACTGGCAGCATGCACTGGCCCCATCATGGTGAGGCCACAGGAGACCCAAAAGTGTATTTGTGATAAGGAGTTATGGAAAAAGAGGAATATGCCTTGAAGCAACTTCACTGTGCGCTGGTTACCTGCTTGTCTGAGTTCAGGGAGCTAGCACATCCATCCACACAAGATAACTGAAGGGGATTTACTACTTTTAGATTGTCAGAAAGAGACAACAGAAGCCAGGCATTCATTTGGAACTGATCCCTCAGGCTCAGAGAGATGCCAGTGTCTTCTTACACCATAGATGAGGGACACAGGCTGCCCTGGGTTATATAGCTGTGGCTCACTGTGAACACCTGGGCAAATCTTTGAGGGGCATCCTATTCTGGTACTGAACCGGAGCCCGGGTTATTCCAGACAGCTCCCCCTTAATCTCAGGATGCTGTGGTTCCAGGACATTCTGCAGTTGTTCTTGAGAACTCCAAGTAAGAAAGGGGAAAAAAAAACTGAAGTAGTCCAAGGCCACTTATGATGTGTGCCTCTCAATAATGTCATTAAAATTGATGCAGCACACTCTACCATTACATACTCACCATGTTTTAGGAGCCACAGTAGTCCCTCCATGTAACTCATCCTATTTAGTTCATACAGCAGATCCATAGGGAGGTGGTAGTTTTTGCCTTTAAAGATGAGAAAGCTGAAAACCAAAGATGTGAGGTTAGTAAGTCAAGGCTACACAGCCAAATGTTAGAGCTATGATTTGAAGCCAGTGCCCTTGTTTTTTGTGTGGCGTGTTGTCTCTCATTTTTCCTCCTCAGTGATTGTTTTCACAGGTATTGCATGAGACTGAAATTGCCATTGGTACTTAAATTAGATGTGCAAACATTAGAATGTGAAGAGGAGGAGGAAAATAGCCCTGAAATAAAGAAATCCTGTTCTTCCCTCTGTTTTCCCTGCCGTTTTTCCTGATTCCCTTTAAGATACCTGTTGTACAGCTGAATGTGGGAAAGAAATGAAAATAAGCCCTGCCTTAACATCTTCCTTTAGAGACTAGAAAAATATGCGTTACTAGTATTTTTTTCTATTTAGTTAAAATTCGGATAGTATAAAACCAGCTTTTGAAGTCCACAATTCAGTGACATTTAATATTCTTGCTGGTGTTTTATTACTATTTTAAGTGTTATATATTTCGAAGGCGTGGTGAAGGTCAGTATGAACTTCTGTGTTAAGAAATAACCAAGGAGGCCGGCGCTGCGGCTCAATAGGCTAATCTTCCACCTGCGGCGCCGGCACCCCGGGTTCTAGTCCCGGTTGGAGCGCCGGATTCTGTCCTGGTTGCTTCTCTTCCAGTCTAGCTCTCTGCTGTGGCTCAGGAGTGCAGTGGAGGATGGCCCAGGTGCTTGGGCCCTGCACCCGCATGGGAAACCAGGAGAAGCACCTGGTTCCTGGCTTCGGATCGGCATAGCACGCCAGCCGCAGTGGCCTTTGGGGGTGAACCAACGGAAAAAGGAAGACCTTTCTCTCTGTCTCTCTCTCTCACTGTCCACTCTGTCAAAAAAAAAAAATAATAAATAAAAATAAAAAAGAAATAACCAAGGAAGGACTGCCTTGCACATTGTCTTTTTAGCAAATTCGGGGTTGTAAGGGATAGAATATGTTTCAAAGCAAGAAGGTGGTGTAATTGAATAATCACTTTCACTTTTAATTAGTTTTCTTTGTAAATGTTGATTAGTTCCACATATGAATTGCTAGTATTTATATGTTCTTTATTATCTTTCAGGAGTTTTGTTTGCTTTGAAAGTTCTTAACAACCACTATTGCCCTGGAGGCTTTGTCAACATTTTGGGCTTTCCTGTCCCCAACAGATTTGCTTGTTGGGCAGAACTTGTGGCTATTCATTTCTTCACACCAGGGTAAGTGTTTACTCTTAGGAAGTGAAAAATGAGGAGCTGGATGTTCTATGGAGAAATAATTGAAACAGTAATGAAGTACCCAATGTTTATTTTAAACAGGGAAGTTTATTCTTTAATTTTAAGGATAGAATTTAGGTTAATGGTTTCAATGTCAGACATTCCTGGATTTGAATCGTGTCAACTGTTGACCTCTGTAATTTTGGGGTATTTGTCATTTCAGACTTTTTATTTTTTTCACCTTTCAAGTAATAAGAAGCTGATACAGAGATTTGAGGACAATCTTAACCAATTAGCTAGGTAATTGTAATTTCAGTAATCCAGAGAAGCACACAAAAACCATATGAGTATAAAGATACAAAAACCACGAGTTATATTGGTCAAATGTTTTAAAGCCATTTTAGTTGTGACTTTGTCATGGTAATAGGACTTTTTAGACAGAAAGTATTACTCAGAACCCAACCTATAATATGGATCAGCTTTGCCACAGTCGGGTTGAGAGGGAGCATGGGCCTGATCCATCTGCCTTTCTTGCAGGTTGCTGTGGCAGCCTCCGAGTACCTCCACAACATCCAGGGTTCCAGGGCACACAGTGTCAGAACTGCTGATCTAGGGGAACCTTTTCCTTTGCAAAGGTGGACATGGGAGTTGGGAGGTCTAGGGGTTCATCAGGCAGCTCCTGATAGACACTGGTCAGGTGAGGATTCAGAGCCCTGACTGCTGCCCTGGTGCCCTTGCCGATTCAGCTGCGTTTTCTCCCTTTACTCCTTTTTCTGCTTTTCTTTTTTTGAAAAAGGAGGATGAATTGTGGTACTCTTTCCACCTCTAACACCAGCTTTGGTTTGCTTCATCTGTGTTATGCAACTGAACATACATGCTTTGTTTATTTTTATTGTGGGGACCTCGGCACTGGAGAAGGAGGATATTCAGGAAGATTCTGAAAGAAATAAGCAGGATTTTTTTAAACTTTTTTTCTTTTCAGACAGGACCTATTTTGATTTTGATTTTGATTTGTGTGTGTTGATTTGAGAATATTCTACTTGGGCTGTATGTCAGCCTAGTAACCTTGAGTCCTTCTTTAATGCTAATTTCCCAACATGGGCAACCATTGGCAGCTGGTCCATAAATGGCAGTGATGTGGCCACTGAACACCACTCATTTACAATGGTATTGTTGCTTGTGACAGTTGAACAAAGAAAGCCTAACAAAATCTTCAAAGTTTTCTTTGAAAAAGGGTCCAGTAATGTCTGTCCCTTATCTGAACAGCCCTCTCTATACCTTGTCACTCATAGGTCCCCTGACTTGCTTGATGTGACTTGGTTCTCTGTGTAGACTATGGGCTCTTGTATGTGACTGGCAATACCCAACATTCATATGAAAATCACTCCCTCTGCTACTTGAACTTTTATCCTATAATGAATCCATTGAGTAACAGCACTCTAATATTCTCGTTCAACTATTTCTGAAGAGCTCATCATGCACTTCATTTTTTTTAGGCTCCCCCCTTTTCTATGGGAAAGGCATGGTGGCATTTTTGTGTAATATGCTTGTTATGAATGGCGAGCCTGATATTCTGAGCCTGGGAGTTAAATGAAATTTCCTGCCTTTGAAGTTAGAAAGAATAAATCTTTTGGTTTTTAAGATTTGGCTGCTTTGGATGATAAACTTCTAATATCTAAGCGTCTACTTATGCATGTGTCCAAATAAAGACTGAGCTAAACGCTGGTCTGGGAGACCTAAGAAGTAAGTACTTCTTTGAGATGGATCTTAGAAGAATGGGGGAGACTAGAGCTCTCTCTGCTTTGCATTGTTATTATCCTAGTGGTTGTCAATTAGAATTTTCATTGTAAAAACACTGTAAATCTTTAGAACAAAGCCTGCTTTATTGTAGGACTACATGGGCTGCCCTTTGGGAGAAAAATAAGTCTGCCAAAGCAAACATTTGGTGGGCCTGTGTATTTTATGAAAGCCATGGAGTTGGTAATTTCCCCCAGTGGAGTTGTGTGAAGGAAAGCCACCCCAAGTAGGCAGCCAGTGGGCATCGGGGTGGGGTGTTGGCTGGAAAACCAGAAAGTGGTGCTTATGCAGTACTTTTCCTTCTCATGATCTTTTGTGTACTTTCTTCCATGGTTGGCCTGCCTCACACCTGTCTCTTCATTTCCCTTCAGGCCACTCCAGAGGCCGCTTCCATCAGACTGGATTCTTGCTCCTTCTCACCTCCCCACCCTCACCAACATGTTGATAGAAGGGAGGGTACCTTCCCCAAGTTCTACTTCCTGACCTAAATTATAAGCCACAGAAATTTCTCATGTGAGCCTGAGGCTGTCTAGGCAGAAACTTGAAGCTTGGAGAAATGAATGTCACCCAGAGTATGACTGCCCTCAGTGACCATAGCAGAGGACAGTGGTCAAGTGTGAGAGGACAAGGGCTCACCAGCTAGCTATGGAACCCAGCACATCATGTGGCATGTGTGAGCCTCATTTCCCTCAGCTGTAAAGTGAGGATATTACTTATCTTCTCTGCTTAACAAGTTTTAAGTAGTAAAAGAGATATTTCATATGAAAGTGCTTCGTAAATAGTAAAAAGTAGTTAACCCTTCATTTTTATTATGAAATAAATTGCTAGAAATGTGCAATATCCTTGAAAAGAATTAAATACTTTCTTTTTCTTTCTAAAATCAAAATAATAAGTCAGCTGTTATATAATTTTGTTTGAGTTCTACTCCCCATCACCCTTTCTCCTACATGAGTTTTGTTTTTTATCCTAAATGACAATGGTAAAAAAAAAAAAAAGGTGCCTGTAGGCTACTCATCAGCATGAATTCAGCAGGCCCTGACTGTACATGGGCCCTGGGAGTCTTTGGTACAATACAACACCTCTGGAAACACAAACCCCTTGGTGTGGGATACTGCTTCTTTGCTAAAGTTTGACAAGAGTAATTACTTTGATGCTCCTGAAAACTTCTTGGATTGATCAGATAGAGGAAAATATTGCTTGTTCTATTTTTTTTTCTAATTAGAAGAATTTTCAAAAATAAGGAAAAGTTGTAGAACCATTTTATTTTTTATTTATATTATTTATTATAAAGGTTTATTTTTTTTTTAATTAGAGAGGCAGAGTTAAAGACAGAGAGAGGGAGAGACAGGGAGAGAGTCTTCCCTTCACTTGTTTGCTCCCAAATGGCCACAGTGACCAGAGCTGGGCTGATCTGAAGTCAGTATCTAGGAGTTTCTTCCAGGTCTCCCACATGGGTACTGGGAACCAAGCACTTGGGCTATCTTCCACTGCTTTACCAGGCTATTAGCATAGAGCTAGGTTGGAAGAGGAGCAGCAGGACTCTTAACTGGTGCCCGTATAGGATGCTGGCCCTCCAGGCAGAAGCTTAACAATACCACAGTGCTGGCCCCTGCAGAACCATTTTAATGTTGTAAACATCATTACTTCATCCTTACAAATTTCAACATGTATTTCTCAAAAATATTCTTTAACATAAACACTTTACTGTTGTTTTTTATATTCTTAATTGGTGCATAATATTTGTGCATATGTATGGAACACAGTGTGATAGATGTATACAATGTGCAATGATCCAAATCAGGATAATTAGTACTTGCATCCTCTACAGCATTTATCATTTCCATGTGTTGAGAACCTTTGGACTTTAGTTATTTTGAATACATCATAAATTGTTGTAGACTGTAGTTAACTATGTCATAGGACACTAATTCCCATGGAGTAACTGTATTTTGGCACTTGTTGTCTAATTCATTGTTGTACTAAAGAAAATTTAACAGTAATTCTCCAATGTTAGCTAGTAATTGAGCCATATTCAAATTTCTCTTATAACAAAATGTCTTAGACAGCTGTGCTTTGGGGGGTGAGGGAGGGTTAGGAACCAGAGCTCAATTATTCCATTTCACTATTGTATTTCTTTGTTGTCCTTTACTCTAGCAAAGTCCTTCTACCGTTTTATTTTCCCATGACATTGACATTGACATTTTTAAGGGATCAGACCTCATGTATTTTGTTGGCCTATGTTTTTGATTTGTCTACTTATTTCCTTGTGGAGTTATTTAACTTGTCTCTCCACTCTTGGTTTCTGGAGACTGGAAGTTAGCTCTAAAGGCATGGATAGTTTCAGACTGACTTATAGGCACAAGAATACTCTACAAGGGTGATGCTCTGTACTCCACTTGGATCACATCCGGAAGGACATACAAAACAGCTTCTCCCTCTGTTAGGAATTTAATCACTTGATAAAGATGGTCTTTATTGTAAGGTCTCATTTATCCTTTTGCAGTTAGCAATTAATATGGATTAAAATTAATTACAAAATCAGGTAAGCTTGAGGCCCACAAAATTAATTGGATTCTGACTCTAGCACAGTGACCACACTGTCCCAGCACTGTGTGGCTGCTGCTCCTGGTCCTCCTGTTAGAATCCTGGGAAGTTCACTCAGTGGGGATTACAAGTATTTCTGGAAGTCATTTCTGCACGGGAGTGCCTAGCAGTGCCTTAGCTATACCTGGAAATGGCCACAGACCATGTAACTATACTCTACTGAAACCAAACTGTCAGTGTATCAGCTCAGTTTCCTTTTAGCTGAATCCCAGAAGTGTCTGTGGCCACTGACTGCCACCTGGCATGGGAAAAAGTATGGTGGAGGGAAGTTAGACTGAAAGGAGACCACAGTTTTAACTGATGTGGTTACGATACCTCACTCACTTTTACAAGTTTTACAAGAACATATGACTGCGTGAAGGAACCCAGGCTAGTGGGGAGACTAATGCTTGCGCAGCTTCTTGGCAAATCTACAAGATGTTCCACTGAGGAGGCCATTGTGACTGATGGCTGTGGGGAAGGGAAGGAGACACTGAGAGAATTATGGACTGTGGAAAAAGGGGGAATTGAGAGAGAAGAGGTTCATCAGGTTTAAACAATGAGAGATCAAGAGAATGGGAACCAGTAGTCAAAGGAGAGGATGCTGGAGCTTGTTTTACTGG